GATGAAGATGAAGATGAAGATGAAGATGAAGATGAAGATGAAGATGATTATGAACATGAACGTGAACATGAACATGAAAATGAACATGAACATGAAAATGAACATGAACATGAACTTGAACATGAACATGAACATGAAGGTGTAGATAAACATAAACATAAACATTAAAAGCGATAGAGACAAAGATAGAGACAAAGATAGAGACAAAGATAGAGAGGAAGAAAGTGATAGGGATAAAAAGGAAATACAACTGAAGAGTGTGCGATGTTATATTGTGATGTGTTATGCTACATATGTTATGTTATTGAAGCTAATGCTATTCTATGTTATGTTATGCTAAGTACTAAGCTAAACTCCCCTCCACTTAACCCATTCCAACAAATTTTATTTCAGCTCAACTCAACTCACATAAACTATCCTTAATTTTAGCGGTTGAATTTCAACCGCTGGGCGAACACTAGTAATAATAAAAAATCATCTGTTTAGAGAAACATATTTAGTTCACGTAACTAAACTCCTTTCCCAGTGTAGTAAGAAAGAGTTCTACAAAGAATTTTTAAAATAATAATTGAGGCACATACTATGTACAGAGAATTTATTAAATAGCTAGATCGCCCTCACCCGCTTCGCTGAGTGTATGAAATTTTTGCGTACTACATTGAATAAATTTTTTTTTCAAGACAACTCAATTGAAAAACAGGGGGTTTATAATTTGTCCATGTTCAAAATATTTTCAAACTAAAATTTTCTTAAACATCTCGCTTTTCATACTTTTTCAACTCAATTAATATTTTAAACAGATGGAAACCCTTTGCATGTAGTTTTGAAATTAAGCCCTTTTAAAATCATTTTGATTGATATTGTAATAATTCTTTTAAATTATTGAATAGTTTGAATTTAACCTTTTAAACAGTTGGCAACCTTTTTAGACCTCTTTCGTCTATTACTCATATTGTGACACATATTCAAAACCATTCCGATTCATACGAATCTATACCAATATATATTTAAAAAGCCTTTTTTTTGTCTTCGCAGAGCTCGAGAACGGCCGAACCGTTTTTTTTTAATTTCCGACACCTGATTCAGACGTCTCAAGGATTATTATAGGCTTAAAAAAGTTCGATATAGAGAGGGGCGTGGAACCTCCCATAAAAACCGAATTTTTCATACCGAATGTCTCTGGACTTGTGCACAAGGGTATTATAACTTTGTTTACATAACGGTTGTTTGTAACAGGCAAAACGCATCGAGATAGATGTAGACAAATGTATACATAAATGATCAGGATGAAAAGAGGTATCGATTAAGCGGTGACTGTCTGTCCGTCCGTCCGTCTGTGCACACGATAACTCGAGTAAAAATTAAGATATCTTAACGAAACTTGGTAGGAGTACTTCTTTCTGGCGTAGGACGGATGGTATTGAAAATGGGCAAAATCGGACAATAACCACGCCTGCCTCCAATATAACGGTAATTTTCAGAAATACAAAAACTGCGATATTTTAGTAACTACTGAAGATTATTCACTCAAAATTGATATCTACAATACTTTTAAGAGGAAAAAAAGAATATTATAAATTTTTGAAAAATGGACGTAGCCACGCCCACTTGTGGTTACATGTGTATATCTTGGCAACCGCTGCACCGATTTTTTCCAAACTGGGCACAGTTGTTGGCCTTAGTACAGAATACCAAATGGCAAATATAAAGGTAATTTGGAGAAATGCGAAATCTTTGATAAATCAGTAAATATTAAGCAAACAACTCTTTACCGAGAAATACGTTTATGATAAAATTTTGGAAAATGGGCGTGGCACCGCCCACTTATGATCACATATATGTATCTCGGTAACCGTTCTACCAATTTGTACCAAACTCGGTATGGTTATTGTGCTTGCCACATAAAAGCAAAGCGTTCAAAATTATTGAAATCGGACTAAATTTAGAAATGCTTATAACTTCAATATTTCGAAATTTAAGGACGCTAATTTACTCAAAATTGATACACCCAGGCTTACCATGTAGCGGTAGCTTTCGGAAAGGTGAAAAACATATATTTAATATTTGCGCCGGGTATTTAATGTTCGGCTCCGCCCGAACTTAGACTTTCTTATTTGTTTGTGTTACGATCAGGGTTCGAATTTGCCTCATTTTAGCCCCTCGCTCGCTCGTTAGTTTGCTCTGAGCTTGCGAAACTCACGAGCAACAAGCGAGGCTGTTTGCAAACGAGCACTTGTTAAGTACGAGCGCACGCGCTGATCAGCCAGCGAGCGAGTAAGCAAACGAGGGCAGCGCAAGAGTAGAGCCTCGCGAGGGCGTCGTTGCGAGCGAGGCACTCATTTGCAGCAGCAGATGAGCGAGGCACTCATTTGTAGCAGCAGACGAGCGAGGCGAGTAAACGAGCGAGGAAAACGAGGCGAGCAATCGAGCGAGGCAAATGAGGCAAGCAGATAAGACAGGCAAACGGGTTGTTTGGTCAGCAAAAATGTATGGAATAAAAATTTCCTTAACTAAGAATTTCGAGTAAATGTTTGTACGCACACGTGCAGATATGTATATACATACATATGTACACTTACGTCTCTTTTTATGCGGATCTTTTTATACCCGAGCGCACTTGTGCACAAGGGTATTATAACTTTGTTCACATAACGGTTGTTTGCAACAGGCAAAACGAATCGAGATAGATATAGACAAATGTATACATAAATGATCAGAATGAAAAGAGAAATCGATTAAGCGGTGACTGTCTGTCCGTCCGTCCGTCCGTCTGTGCACACGATAAGTCGAGTAAAAATTGAGATATCTTAACGACTTCGACGTGGACTTCTTTTGGGCGTAGGACGGATGGTATTGAAAATGGGCGAAATCGGACAATAACAACCCCTACCTCCCATATAACGGTAATTTTCAGAAATACGAAAACTGCAATATTTTAGTAACTACTAAAGATAATTCACTCAAAATTGGTGTTTACAATGAGTTTTAGACGAAAAATAAAATATTAAAACATTTTGGCAAATGGGCGTAGCCACGCCCACTTACGGTTACATGTGTATATCTTGGTAACCGCTGCACCAATTTCTCAGCACAGTTATTGGCCCTGGTACAGCATACCAAATGGCCGAAAATTTTTAAAATCGGACAATTTCCACGCCCACATCTCATATAACGGTAATTTAGAGAAATACGAAATATTCGATAAATCAGTAAATATTAAAGCTAATTTATTAAAGATTGATGTTTACAACAATTCTTAACAAAGAAATATGTTTGTGATAAAATTTAAAAAAATGGGCGTGGCACCGCCCTTTTATGATCACATATATATATCTCGGTAACCGTTCTACCAATTTGAACCAAACTCGGTACGGTTATTGTGCTTGCCACATAAAATCAAACCGTTGAAAATTGTTGAAATCGGACTAAAATTACGGCCGCTTTTCATATAACGGTAAATTTCAGAAATGCTTGAAATTTCAATATTTCGAAATTTAGGGACACTAATTTACTTAAAATTTATACACCCCGGCTTATCATATAGCGGTAGCTTTCGGAAAGGTGGAAAACATATATTTAATACTTGCGCCGGGTATTTAATGTTCGGCTCCGCCGAACTTTGACTTTCTTACTTGTTTAAATTAATATTTCATATCAATAATTGCATGAAAAATTTTATTTCTTGCCCTCATTTGATTGAAAGGAAAAAAACATTTCATATAATTTTATTTATTTGCAACAGCTGGCGACCGACGCAGCGATCTTTCTTCTTTGTGTTGGCCTTAGCGTTGCCAAATTTTGGCTATGTGGACGGCTGCTTTGAAATTCACCGGCCTGTATTCTTTGTTTACGCAATTTTCCCATGGCTACATATCCATACTTATGTACATACATATGTACATATGTCCTTGAATAACAGGCCACAAATAAATTTTTTCACCAAGGATTATATTTAATTCAGGTATGCAGCACAACTGCTACAAGTCCGTGTCTTCTGGCTGATGTAAGCTTTAATGTTCCCTCACGCGTATCAAGACACTTTTGTCCCATATTTCTGAAAGCTTGTAAAACCAATTTTGAATTGCACGACCCACTCCGTTGCTTATGCCAGGATTTTAACTCTCATTCTAGCACGTTTGATATATCAGATCCGCTTTTCAGCATTAAGAAAGCGATACTCTCCTCTCTCAATAAGTGAATTATTGACATAAATACATAAAATCAGCTGATGAATTTAGTTCTGTAGCTGAACAGTTTTAGATCTCGACACTTAACAAACTCCTGCCTATCGTGACTCGGCACAAAAATTTAAAATATTGGTTCCGTACGTCATGCGGACTGCGCCCCTCGTGCGGATGGGCGGGAATGGAGGGTAAAAACCGTTGGGATATTATTATTATTAAGTAGCAAACTATTTTGGGGTGTTAACAAGTGCTTATTTGTTTTTGGTTTCTGCGGCATAAACGATTATAATATCTTGGTTATATATATAAATATCCATGTTATGTATGTACATATGTATGTATATAACTCAAACAAATATTTAATTCCACAATCTATGCTTATGTATGTAATACATCTTATTTGTTGTTTTAAATGCTGCCCACAATAATATTCACATATTTATATGCATATGTACATATGTACATACAAATATTAACATACTTTCGTATATAATCTATTGATTACATTCCCACATTTTTATGCACAAAAATCCATGTGTTTTATAGTACACTCCGAGCGCTCGCTCGTCCCTCACTCGTCTTACCTAGTAGAGCGAGTATGCAGACAGCACTCGCCTCTCACTGCGAGCGAGGCAACACACAACAGCCTCGCTCGTTTAATAGGAGCGCGAGCAAACAAGCAGCGCTCGCTCGTTTGCCGAGCAAGCCAAAATTCT